TAACACTGTATATATATATATATATTTTTTTTTTTATTATATTTATATTTTTACTAACCTGGCGGTTTTTTCTTGTCAGGAAAGCACTTGTCCATAAATAGGGATAAGTCTGATAAAAGAATCTCTTTTTGTTGATGAACTTCTTCAGGATTCATAGTGAAACCTATCTCATCACTATCTTTTTCCCAAGGTAACTTTCCACACAACCATTGTATAATGTTATATCCTAAAGTCTCTAAGTCTCCTCTCCTTGAATGTGCTAAAAAATATTTTATTGAATGAGAGAGAATAACTTTTTCATTTAATAATAGTTGAAAGAAATAGAAAAAAAGCTCAGTTCATCAAATAGTTATTATTAAATTGTTTTTTATGTAATAAATCCTAAGATAAACACATCATCATCATTTTTATCAGCTCTTTTGAAGGAAAAAAATCGTTTATTTTTACAATTTTGATATAAAAAGAAATTGCAAATGTGCGATTGTAATATGCGTTACTGAAATGATTGACATACTTCCATGATGAGCGTCCCGCGATGTAAATTCTAAAGTACCCTCGTGAGCTCTTCTCTCATCATGTACAAATGGTTTATGTTCACCGGTTCCTGTACGGAAACGATATGCCAGTCCATAATCTACCAAGTATGCCATCGACTTTTCCTTTCCTATTTCATTCCCATATGATAACAAGATATTTGGTCCCTTAATATCTGCATGAGCATATCCTTTACTGTGAATATATTCCAATGCATCAAGCTATAAAAAAAAAAGAAATTTTATTAAATTGCAATCTCGATCAATTATTAATTACAAAATGCAATTCCAATGTGAAATTTACCATTTGAACAGCTAACGTATTAACAAGTTTTGTTGGTAATTTCTTTCTATGCGATAGAAATAATTTTCCGATATCCACGCCATATCGAGGTATTACTAGAAACCTATATCGATGACCTCCATAAAAATGAGATCCTGATCCTTCATATGTGGGTACACCAATTCTCTTCTTTCCCTGAGATTCACACCAACTTTTAACTGTAAAATATATCAAAAAATACAATCATTTGAAGTATACACACACACAGACACACACACACACACACACACACACACACACACACACACACACACACACACACACACACACAGGATGTCCTAAAAAGATTGAGACACCTGAATATTTAAAAAAATATGAATTTTACAGAAAAGTGTTCCAGACAAAAATTGTAGGATTCAAAAAGATGTATTTACTGATCTTATCAGTTTGACTTTGGATGGCATTGCCAAATTCAGATCAAGGTCACCGATTGGTTTCACCGATTTTTTTTTAATGGAACATCCCAAGGATCGTGTTCTAACATATATATGCCTTGGTTATATATATAATAACATTTGTCGAAACCATTATTATATATATAACCAAGGCCATTATTTTATATATATAAGGAAATTATTACTTTTTTTATTTTTACACTAAAAGTTTATTTTTACGTTATGCTAATGCTAGGCGATACTGCGACTTTCAAGTCTTATAAAAGTACTTAATAAAAAATAACTTTATTATAGTGTTTTTGAAAAGAGATATTAGATTCTGGAATCAAAAGGGTGTTCCATTAAAAAAAAAATTCGATCTTGACGCCACCCAAGGTCAAACTAATAAGATATGTAAATAGATCTCTTTACACCTTACAATATTTGTCTGAAACATTTCTTTCAAAAACATCATTCTCTCAAGTAAATCCGAGATTTCAAGTAAATCTCAACTTTTTTTGAATATTCTGTATATGTATATATAGACATGTCCGTTTCAATCAATTCAGTAGAATATCTCAAAATTCGTAAGTTTAAAATAAAAACGGTTCAAACAAAAGTTGCTAGAGAGAAAAAAAATGGTGATCTTCATTGAATTCACCTTACGAAAAATGTTTAAAAAATTTTAGGTAACTTTGAGACCTGATCTTAGAATATCTTAAGATCAGGTTCTCAAGGTCTCTTTACTCCCTAATAATTGAGCAATTTTTGTCAGAAAAATATTTTTTCTTAAAGATTTAGAGATATATTCTATGGATTGAGTAAAATAGACCACTCTATATGCGCGCACATGTATGTGTGTGTATATACAAAATTATTAGTTTTATATATATGTTAATTTAATTGTGTTACTTACTCATGTGCTTCCGTGCTGCTCTTATATAAAAATTCATTTCGACAAATAATGGCCCATTATTATGAGGTTCAATCTTTATGACGTACTTTGCATCTTGACCAACAGGTGATGTAATGTCATTAGAGGCTACGGAAGCGAAAGATTAATACATAATTACAAATATAAATTATAGAATGGATTATTTCAAATATAAGTGAAAACAGATTACAAATATTTACCAAGATATATGTCTCCAAAACCACCATATCCAATGGTATTCCCTAGTCTCCATTTATTCTGTGTAATATCCGTCAAGATTTCTCCTGCTGGCAATTGCGCTGGTAATTTACAACCTGCAGCTGCTATTCTCTTCATAGGCACATCTTCTGCTCGTCTTGGTGGCATCCTATCACTATTAAATCATTCATATATATATATATATATTAAATATTTACTACTTGACAAAAATATGACTCATCATGTAGAGAAATTTATCCAATATTCGTAACAGGATTCTTTTTACTATCAAAATTGTATCATAAGAGATACAACTTATTTAATACAAATATATGATAGCAATAAATTGCATAAAAAAATTTCACAATTTTGTACAAACAAGAACATTAATCAAGGATATTAATAATTTTATATTTTATTTTTTCATTTATTTCTTAATAAATGCCGCTTGTATACATTTTTTAAGTTTATGCTGTATTTAATATTAATTATGTAAAAATGTCACCATTAAAATAACATATTTGTATATCATATATATTAGTTTTATGATTGTTATAAACAAATTTTTATAATAATATATAATTAAGGATGCCTACATATACATTTGTAATTAAAAATAAAAAGCAGATGTTTAAAAATATAAAATTAAAAAATGCAAAATCATTTATATATATATTTATGTCTTCCGATTAACGTATAAATTATATTCTTTAATAAATTACAAATATATAAAGTTATATATACATTTATTTTATTGTTACTCGCATTCATCAATGATTTAATTTCGTCCCGACAATCTCATTAAACAAGATACATATATTGCTACATATATAGCAGTAAAATACTGCTCTTTTTTATGAATATTATTCATCGCATATACAGAATAATTGAAATACATAAGTCTGTTGTAAGACAATGGAGTTATGTATTTAAAAAATTAAAATATTAGAGTAAAGGAGTAAAAAAATTAAAATATTTATAAATTAAAATATTTGTACATAAAAATTATCGTAAATAGACAAGCAGCCTACTGCATGGTTCAGAAATTATAACATTACCTATAGCAAATTTAGTTACCTGATTACTTTGCATAACACTAAAAGTTGTTTTTCAGCTCATTAACATCTTTCAAATATGGTACTTGATTGAGTATCAAATTATTAAAAATTGCTTGTCAATTTAATTTAATTCGTGATATTATTATATCATTAATTGTATTTATAAATTTGGAAAATTAATTCGGTGCACAGTTCGAATGACTATAAATATGATATATATGCATATATAGTATATATATAATTCATATGAATTATTTAAGCATTAAAATCTAACTTCGATACCAGCAGAGCCATTTTTAGTTCGTATTGATTGTGTATTAAAAGCTGAAGTTATTAAAATCATAAAAATATAAAATATTTAAAGAAAAATAGCCAATATTAATATCATCCATTACATTCTTAAGTAAAATATGTATCTGATATTTTCAGTATTATTCATCAATAAACATTATATTATGATTTCTACAAATATATCTTCATATACACATATATAATATTATATATATATATATATACATGTGTATATAATGCTCTTTTGAACCACCAATGCAGAATAGTGCAAATAACTAAAAAATCTGAATTGAAGACTGTTTTTTGTAGCTGAACTAGTACACTAGTAACTAGTATACATTTAAAGTGAAATAAAATGAAATAAAAATAAAGTGAAATAGATATGTATTTAATATTATATTTAATATTAATTGGCAAAAGTGAGAAAAAAGTTCTAGTACAGGAATAAAAAACAGACTTTAAATTAGCGATAAACATAATTCGCTATTTCCATTTGCTATGATTTTTTGTAATATGCTAACTTACATGATGTAATATTTGTACATATGTACACGGTAAAGGTTCTCAGTAAATTATTATGACATATTTACATTGTATTCACAGTAACCATACAAAGCTACTAATAATAAAATTTCTTTTAAATATATCAATTAATTATATAAAATAACTCGAGTGAATTTCAATAACAAGAGATCATTATATGTACACGAAAAAATGTTTATTACAAATGGATTTCGATATCAATACTTAATAAGAGCCTCATCGACAACATCGAATTCAATTTCTATATAACTTGTCAACATGCCGTTCTACGTAACAATAATATACTTACATGGACGTACGTATTTTTCTAATATCTTTTTTTTTCTGTATCGGCTTATGTTATTAGTTAACAAGAGGAACTCATATCGTGTATTCAAGCGATCATTCACAAGAATGTCTCGATCACAACTAAAAACTCGCAGTTATATCTTGCTTGATTCCAAATGCTTGATGCATTCCGCAAGGTTAGTCACGAGAGGATCTTGAACGAAATACAGCGAGATACAAGCGTATGTCGTTCAAGATTATTCGAAATATCATGCGTCGATGTACAAGCAACCGGCGCTTTTTCTCGGAGACGAATGTCTGCGTATGTAAAATTCGCCACGCACAAAGAAAGGAACGCCTAAACAGTGAAATCGCAGATCGTCTCGATTGTATGTTACAAAGTGCTAGCACAGTACGTGCTGGAGTCCCGCAACGTCTAACGTAATGTTGTCGCGTACGTTTGATAAATGCGTGAAGCAACGTTTCGCCAACGTCCCGTTGCAGAATGGTGTCAAACAACGCGAGTGGAAAACGCATTCGAAGCCTGCAACAGCTTGAGTCTTGGCCACTCTTGGACGACGAACCGGACGGACACCAACACAGCCGAATCGCGATTCCACCTCGGATACTCCTCCGCACCGAACTCAACAAATCACATCGCACCCTCTTCGAAATACGCTTCTTCGCGGGAGCGCCGATCAGCTGGAATCTGTCTCCAACGACAACGATATTTCTCGCATAGAAGCAGCAAGTATCGCGCGATAAGCGATAATACGACCAACCAACTCGGTCTTTTTTTTTCCCGAATAACAGAACGTAACGGAAAGCGATTGGCTAATTGAAAATTCGTACTGTACACGATGTACGACCAGTAGGAACATCTGTTTTCTAGGGACGATAGCGTCTCCAGCTGTGATCTCTAAAGAACACGTTTGCCTATTGGACGCCCATTGGACTTACTACGGATGACACATATATGTCGCATGCATGTGAATCTTTCATAAAACCGGCATACAACCGGCAACGAAAATTGAAACGTATTTTTTTATAGGAAACCACTATAGTGGCATCAAAACAATTATTTGAGGCAAGAAATATGAATTATAAAATTTTACTCGACAGCTGTAAGATTTTGAAAATAAACCCATCTCTATTTTTCTCTTTGTCTCACTCACTCACTCACTCACTCACTCACTCACTCACTCACTCACTCACTCACTCACTCACTCACTCACTCACTCACTCACTCTCTCTCTCTCTCTCTCTCTCTCTCTCTCTCTCTCTCTCTCTCTCTCTCTCTCTTTCTCTCATGTTCGTTTCTATCTCAATGGGCATCCGAGAAGCGCGCTATCAGCGCTATTGTATAATATTATTCTTGTTTCACGTCTAATGGACAATAAAGATAGAATAACATAAATAGCGCTAATAGCATCTCCCCGAAATGTAAGCCAATGTAATTCATTTGTAATCTATAGATTCAACTATTTTTTTCTAATTCTAAGAATTATACCTTTTCTACCAATATAAATTAATTTTCATCTTAGTTCAATTTACTCTTTTTCTAATTTGAAAAACTAGTTTTCTAACTAGAAAAAGATAAAGAATTAGTTAAACCGAAATTAAAATTAAACTTCGTTAATAGATGGTAAACGTTTAAGAAATTTCTGTGCAACTGTGGCACTGTGAAAGCGCTAATTTTCAGTTTTATAACATTGGGACATTTAAAAACTCATTGTATGAATGTTTTAATCTTTTTCAACTTTTATTCAAGAATATAATTATGTGAAAATATAAAAGATATATAAACAGTAAAACAATTAGGAACAGAAAATCAATTTGAATTAACTTTGTTGATGTCCGATAATTAACACATAATTATTTGATAAATTTTAAAGATTTAAAAGCTATAAAGACTCTATAGTATTTTATTCTAAATACATACATCTTTTCTATTATACGCTCAACTATGAAAGATGATATTTTACATCAGATTGTTCAATGCGAAAAAAACAGAAGGCCGCACTTGTTAGGGATTTATATAATTTAGAAGAGTTGAGAGTATCTAATATATAAATATACATATACACCAAAATAGAAGATATACATCTTATCTTAAAATATACATATATATATAAAAAATCCATTCGCTGTAATTTAAATACGTAAAAATAGAATAAGAATGTGCCACATTATCTAGTTCCTATTCGCTATACATATAAAAATAAATATCGAATAATCACTTGAAATACAACAAAAAGTAAAATGGCACTATGAAGAACAAAAGTGTCCTCTAATTCACATGTAGTGAATAAGATTGCATTTGTATCGAGTTTTTTTCCTTTAAAAGTCTCTCTGTGACTTCTCTTTCAGCAATTAACCAATCAGTTGGAGAAAAAGAATCTCAATACATGCACAATTCCTCACTACACCAGAACAGAACAGCAGTTTTGCTGTCAATTGTACATGTACAATATGCGCGTGTGTGTATTCTAAAATCATTTATTTCATCTCCTTCAAATCAGTCGATTTCGCACTTACTTCCCACAGATGGAGTGCTACTTCTGGGTCTAGTTCTTTTTTAGAGACATAAAGTTTACAATCGCGATACAGATATCCACTTTCCTCAGATAATGACGGTTCTGTTGCACAATGCAATACCGTTTGCGCACCCTGTAAATATTAATTTGTAATAGAAAATAATCCATACAGCATGAAATATTTCCAAAATATTTCATTATAAGATTTGAAATATATTTCAGAAATTTTTCATAAAATATTTCTAAAATGTAAATTGGGAAATCAGTTTTTTAAAGTATATTCTTTTTCTTACAATATTTTTAAAATATTTTTGCGAAATGTTTTAATGCAATATTTTAAAATGATTTATAAACGTTTATGAAATATTTTATTGAAATACTTCAAAAAATGATTTATATAGATATTTCATGCAATGTGGGAAAAGTCCTCTTATTTGTATTAATTTCCTAAATAAGAGAATTTATAAAGGTAAAAGATTTTCTAAAAGTGGATTATATGTTGATTTGTATATTTACCTGATTTGCAGTGCGTAGAAACATAAGAGCAACAGGCGAGAAAATGATATAATGAAACCAGCTTCTTTTCACATTTCTGAATAAACCAGTATAAGTAAATCCAGGACACACCATGTAAACATTAACACCAGTATTTTCTGTTCGTTTTGCAAGCTCAGCGGCAAAGTATGCATTTGCAAGCTTTGAGTTACAATAGCCAGGATTCATTCTGCTTTTTACCGGTAATCCTTTTTCGCCGTTCAAGTTTGAAAAATCTATTACTCCAGATTCCAAAAGCTTGGATGTCACTACCACTATTCTGTATAAAAAATTTTATTTCAACATCGTTTTGTCACTCTAAAACATTACTTTATACTAACCTGCTAGGAGCGCTTTCCTTCAGACGATCTAAAAGCAAATTTGTAAGCAAAAAGTGACCCAAATGATTTACTCCGAAATGGATCTCAAATCCATCTTTTGTCAAAGCGTGATCTTTCAGAGGTGCGTATACTCCGGCATTATTGATCAACACATGAATTTGGGAAAATTTCTTTAGCACTTCATTGGCAAATTTTTTAATCGATGAGAAAGATGCAAGATCCAACTCCATAGGAATCTGTATGAATAGAGATAAATCATTAAGTTAGAAAGTATCCAAGTAGAATAAGTCATTATGATACCAAAATAATGTCAAAATGATTTTAAAATAATCACTAAAAGTCATTTTTCAATTATCTCCGATTTATTTTAATGTCATTTTGACGTTATTATAACTTGTTGGTCTGCTTGGACAGATAAAGAGTAAATAATATAGAGATAGAATTCGATATGTAAAGATTACTGTACAATTTTATTAAAGAAAGATTATATGATCACCAATTCGCCAGTAGATATTTTGCTGCGTATCTCTGCTATGGCATTCGTTGCACTTTGTACATCCCTGCAGGCCATAATAATCGTGGCTTTTCGTTTAGCCAATTCCTTCGCCGTCTCCTTGCCGATGCCGGAATTAGCGCCAGTCACAAGAAATACCCGGTCTTGTAGATTGCTGCTGCTCTTACATTTTCCCCAAGTGCGTTCTCGACATTTGCGGAGCAAGCCGATGAGCAAGACCATTGGAAGTATGAAATAACACCACGAAGATACCATATTTATTGATACCAGGTGACTTTTAACCTCGAGGCATGAGACTGTTATGTTTCAAGTGTAACACATGAGTGTAAATTAATTCAGTCACAGAAAACAGACGTACGTTGATCGTGGTTGATTGCGATGACTGGCTCAAACGTTGCTAATGCATACAACATTAAGCATGACACAATATTATGTACTTGCACGTTCGATCCAATCGAATGAAGCTTCTAATTTGTCGCGTACAACAGCATGACAACAATTAAAGGCAAAGAGCATCAGTCCAAAGGCTAATCTTATCTCAAGCACTCCGAGCGATTCCACATCTCGGACAATCTCGAACAAAATAATTACTGTAACATCACAAGTGCCGCCGCAAACTACTCCTACGCGGAACTTTATATTTACAATCGTAACGCGCAAGCGCTGCAACGCAAATACTCCAGCATACGCAAATTTTTACGAGCCCTTGAATAGCCTTTTCAATAAAAATGGCAAAAAATGCGGGATACCTTGTATATTCGATAAAATATTATTTCAATTTCAAGTGTATTTGTAATTTTCAACATATCGATATTCGAAAATTTTTAATAACTATTATATAAAGTATGTCGATAATAGATCTGTTCCCATTGAAATTCTCGAAAATATTATTGCATTTAAAATGAGATAATAAATGATATATTAATTTAGACTTTGAAGAAAAAAAAAAGCGAAGATACTGAATGCAAAATATATAAGTAATGTAAATAGATCTATATTATTATTTTGTTTTTCATTTATAAAAGTATAAAAAGAAGAAATAAAGAAGAGAAGCTAGGATGCTTTTGTTAAGTTAAAAAGTAGCTAATATTGTACGAAACAGAAATTCTTAGATCTATTCTTTTTAGTTAAAGTTCTCGCACGGTTTATCTTTTTTCCTTTTCTTTCCAATTGAATAGAAAACAAGAAAAAATGAACTGAGTAAGAAATTTAGCTACAAAGAATAGGGCCCTTTAGAACTCGTTAGAAATGCAAAAAGATTATTAAATATATTGTATAATAGATACATATTAACATCACTAATAAAATATCATTGAAGATAATGCAATTTAAAATAAAATTGAATTATAATATTTCATATTTCAGTTAAACCGAATATATATAATGGAAACACAGTGTTTAAATATGAATTTAATTTATTTAGTATATTGAATGCAATTAAATATTAATTATTTTGAAAATGTATTTTTATAATTTCGTTCTGCAACATACACACTCACTCCATTCTTCACTTATTTTCCATTTCATTTTCTTGTCAATTTTATAAAATATAAATGAAAAATTGTAAAAATTAATAAGAATGTTGCTTTATATAGTATTTATATAGTATTAAAATTAAAAAAGCATAAATCTACGGATTAATATATACACATTATGTGTTTCAATAAATTATTTATATTTTTAAAATAAATTTTAATGATAATGTTGCAAATACTTAAATAATGTTAAGGCACGCGATACCATATTCTTCCACATACAAATCAACATAATTATTACAGATGGAATATTTATATATATATATATATATTCTTATGTATAAATACAGTTTCTCATTTCTTTTAAATTCATATACTGTATGTGTGTAGAGTCACATGCTTTCGTAACATTGATTCGAAGGAATTAATAAGCTTTGTGTAGGTACATATACATTATCTCTCAACTTATAAAGTATGTTCTCTTTTGCGGTTCTCTATAAAAAAATATTTTTCATTCATAGTTACGGCCATTTATCATCACAATCTGATACATTGGTTAGAAAAATTCTCAAGTTTATGATAAATTGAATTTATATTTTATTACGAATAGAGTGTTTTTTCCATCCACTCTTCCAAAGTGAACGTAGCTGTTTGGGTTTTAT